TGTGTGTGTGTGTGTGTGTGTGTGTGTGTGTGTGTGTGTGTGTGTGTGTGTGTTGGGAGAATTTGCTGGTACAATGGCATAAATACCAAGCTCTAAAATTAACAGGCAATTCTGTGTGAGTCTTTACAATCAACCTAATTTCAAATAAATAGCACATGAAATTGCCATCACTCATAAAAATCTATGGCAATAAAAAAAACTGCATAAGTATGCCATATTAACTAAGCAAATGTGATTAACAAAAAATTAGAATAAAATACACATTAGAGTTAAATATTTATATAGAATTTCCATAATGAAAAGTGCTAAATCACTGCAAATTCATTCTCACAATATCTTTTCCAGGTTATTAAGCAATGAATATTGCGTTTACCAACAATCCATTTACATGGTGGCCGTGTTTTTGGAATCAAAGGCTGGGGGACTGTAGTTTGGGAAGTATGAGCACATTTGTTGGGACAATGGGATAGAGTATTTGAAATTCATGCCCTATTAGGTCATCTGGTTGGCTGCGTTCAAGCTGCGCCCAACCCTTTCTTTCCCGTACAAGAAGGGTACCCATCACAAAGAAATGTAGTTATAAAGCTTTCACTAATAGGCGGGCTTTTTCGACTCTAGGTTAAAATGTACAGCCCCCCATTGTGTACAACACAAAGGAGTTGCCTGCACCTGCTCATCTTGGGGGCCCCACACCTGGGAAGAAGGAGCACTCCTCTCATTCTTTTTTTCTAGATGGGGGGGGTCAGGGAGCCTCCCACTTTTAAGCTTCTGAGCAACAGAATTTAATCTAGCCTCTTGGACTACCACTTTCCTGCCCATGTCACCCGCACTTAGAGGACCTTGAGCGTCCCGCCAAATTCCGCAAATTAGCTATCAGCATGGGAGGCTGGGCTAAATGGGAAGCCCTACAGACCTGGACCCTTCAGGAAGCGCCTGAGTTCGGGTTACTTTCAGCTTGACAGACAGACAGATGCATGGACATTGGATTCACAGATGGACAGCCCGCCGGAATCCAAAGCTGCCCAGCCAAAGACGGAGGGAGAGATGCAGTAGGCAGTCCCGCGCAGGGCACACAGGCAAGGCTCGGCCAGCATGCCACTGGGCTCCTGTACTAGCCCTTCCCAAATCAGTTAGAGGAGAGAAAAACCTTGGTTCTGTGCCCTAGTGCAAAAGCAGAGGTAGACTTTTGCTCTAGAAAGAGAAAAACTTCTTAACAATACACAGCTGAAAATCTAGACCAAGGACTTCTCTGTTGGATATTTGGTCTGACCATCCCTTATGACAAGGACTTCATGGTTTAAATGTCTGAAATACCATTAATTATTATTAATATTTTCAAATGTTATTATGACCAATATATTCACATGAACTATAAATGTTTGTTACATTCTTGAGTGATTTCATTGATCTTGAGAACATAAGTATCCTTCTATTGGCAGTCAGTAGGAAAAATGGATTTATACAGCACAAATTTGTTTTGCTGAAAATTTTGTGAGAAGATTATTATTCTGTTAAGTGGTGGAGACTTCCATGGAAGTCTATAGACTTCTATATTCTTGAAAGTCACACTTCCAGCAATAGGAACCATCTGGAATACAGCTTAGAATCTGGTCATAAAAAAATGATTTCTGTAGCCAAAAGGGAACATGTTGGAAAGCTCATCATGCACATAATCTTGGAAGAGTTGGTCCTCTCATTTTGTCCACAATCTAAACCAACATTGGATACCCCAGCCCACAGGAGACGGGAAATAGTGGGGTAACTGTCGGGCTGGGACAGAGGGCACAGAGTGGCCACGCCTTCAAGACTGTCTCCTTCCTCAACCCCTTCTTCCTTGCCCATTTGCCCGTGAGGTGATGGTGCCCCCAGGGGTCTGTCTGGGCCCTCTGGTCTGCCCAGGCCATGCAGTCTTCCCGGGGAAACCCCATCCATTCACGCTCTAGCTTCCCACGTGCTCATGTCACCAGATCCACACCTCCAGTCCTAATGTGGTGTTACCTGGACAGCCTCCCTTGGGTGTTCCACAGGTAAATCGACCTCACCACGTCCCCAAATCCAAATCATTTCCTTGGGGGTGGCAGCTCTATCCACATACAGCTCCTCCCAGAGACCTGGCAGTCCTTCCCTCCCCTGCCCCTTCTCACCTCCTCTTGGCTTCACGAGTCACACACCTTTGCCCCTCTTCTCCGCACCTGCTGCCATTACCTGAGTTTAGGCCCTCTTCTCTTTGAGCCCAGATAGTTGTCATGGCTGTCCAAATGGTTTCCCCGCCCCCATTTTTGTCTTCCTCCAGATCCATGCCAACAAGGCCACTGTTGGCCCATAGGCACCTCTGTACAAATTAGATGTCCCTTCTGCCAGATACTTTACTTCCCTGATTTCGTTAGAATAACACCCTTTACTGCCATCTGCTGGCAGTGCTCATAATAAATATACAAATCTTGGAGGTCTATGAGTGGAGTGATACTCCCTTCACTGCGGGTTCTTGCACAGTGTACAAGCTGCACAACCGTACATGTGGCCCTGGATGCCAAAGTGATCTTTTCAAGACATAAATGTAATAAATGAAAATTAGCAGATAAAGAAATGCTTGCTGTTAAATGGAGAGACCCGATTGTCTGGAAATGATGTAAATGATGGGTTTCCATGTGACACAATGACTGAAGATGACCTGAAATTCAAGCTTTTTAAAAAACCTATTTGTCCTATCAATTAAAAATATGTTACAGAACGTTTTCTCACTACAAAAATGATCTAAATTATTCATTTTCAACATCTTACATTTATGTTATATCTATTGTTGGTAAATACAAAACTATTTTCCAGAATTGGGGGCTTGCTTTTTCAGTCCATCTTCCCTCACTTCTATTCGAGATGTGAACTGGACCAACACTACAGATCGACAAACTGAAGTATGAATGTGATGTCCATTCTGGGAGGCTTGAGGCTGTCTCAGGTGAAAGGGACAGTCTAGATGAGCAGTTCAGCATGCATCCGCCACCAGGTTGTACAACCTCCTCCCCCTTTCTTGGGACTAGAAACACTGCATGGCTTTAACATCGTGGTGATGTGTGAAACCCGGGCCCAGTCCAGAGAAATCACGCAAGGCAGACTGCTCTCTCTCACCCAGAGTAGCTGAAAATTTGTGCGACTTTCTTTTTTAGCGAAGTAGCCCCCAGCCTCCTCTTACTGGCCATGGCTGTGACTCGAGGCCCCCCTTTCAAGGCACCGAGTGAGGAGAGAGGACCTTCAGAGCCCACAGTCATGAACCGAAGGGAGACGTAAGCTGGCCACAGGGAATTACCCATCCAGGCCCGGCGGGTCCCAGAACATTAGCTGTTTTATGAGGTTCAGTAAGGAGAGACAGGGAAGGTGATGCTCTGTGTGTGTAGGAGGAAGGTGTCGGCCAGAGGCTGATGTGCCTATATGGGGACACTGTGGTGTGCTCATCTGTACTCAGCTGCTCCTCTCCTTCTGGAAGCCAGAGGAGGGACCTAC